GTAAGTGGCCTCCATGGCTCTTTCTATCGGCCCATATGGGACCAGCATGGGTGGGCGGGCCTGGTGAACTTTTGATTCCTTACCCCTACGGTTATGATTCATGGGTTCCCACTTAATTTTATTTTGATTTTAAATGTGATTCGAATTGTATTTTAATCTAATCATTTGATTTTGTTTTTCAATGTATTTTATATATTTGGTGTTAGCCACCCTGAACCCGAAGGGACGCGGGTGGCGCTGTGGGTAAAATCTCAGCGCCTAGGACTTGCCGATCGCATGGTCGGCGGTTCGAATCCCCGCGGCGGGGTGCGCTCCCGTCGTTCGGTCCCAGCGCCTGCCAACCTAGCAGTTCGAAAGCACCTCCAGGTGCAAGTAGATAAATAGGTACCGCTTACCAGCGGGAAGGTAAACGGCGTTCCGTGTGCTGCGCTGGCTCGCCAGATGCAGCTTGTCACGCTGGCCACGTGACCCGGAAGTGTCTGCGGACAGCGCTGGCTCCCAGCCTCTAGAGTGAGATGAGCGCACAACCCTAGAGTCTGGCAAGACTGGCCCGTACCGGCAGGGGTAGCTTTACCTTTACCTTACCCTGAGCCCGGTCTCGGTCGGGGAGGGCGGGGTATGAATAATTTTTAATTTATTATTATTATTATTATATTTTTATTTTTATTATGTTTGTTCACAATGGATTTCGCCCCTTAAAACTGACCCATAAAAGTGGCCCTCCTCAACCATCTGGCCTAGGCCAAACAATTTGTATAAAGCAGCACTGGTTTTGAAGCAGAGGCTGAATGGGGAGAAAGTTTATCAAGTGATCCAACAGTTTTGAGAACTGTTCCCTAAGAGAGCCAGTGCTGCTGGGCTCCAGCTTCCAGCAGCCCCAGCCAGCATGGCCCAGTGGTCAGGGATGATGGGAGTTGTAGTCCTAAGATTTGGAGGGGCTTCCCACTTTACAGACACCCAAAAGATGAGCGCCTATGTACTGACATGGCATTCTCCAGACAGGCTGAAAGGAACTGGACTTGGAGGCACAAAATGGAAAATCCTTAAAATGTCACCCTCTCTGCTATGGCGGAAGAGAGAGAGGCTCTTTCTGGCCCAATCTGTGTTGTCACAGCTGCAACCACAGTCCCCCCCTGAGAGGAGGATGAATCTCGGCCAAAGAGCTTAAGATCCAAGCTGTCAGCGAGCAACAGTCCCTCGCTCCCTCTCCTCTCCTCTCCCCAACGAAAAGCTCCACCACTTCACCCAGCTCCTTTCTCAGTCTGCCTCTCCTTTTTGCAGGGGGGGAACACCCACCCACCCTGGGAGATCAATGCAAAGGGAGAGGGGTTGCACTGTCAACTCGCTACTCCTACACCAAGGAAGGGCACGAGAAAGCGAGAAGGAAGAGGACCAGTGCAGTGCCTTCCAGATATTGCCAGACTGCAACACCCATCGTGGGAATTATGGGAGTTGGAGTCCAACAACAAACAGAAAGTGCCACAATGACAATCCCTGGTATTCTGCCTCTCAGATACCAGAGCCTTAAACAACCCAGCCCCCCAAATATCTGAAAGATTTCCTCTTTCCCTGCAGACCCTCCCAGGTGTTAAGGTCTGCAGAGGGAACCGTCTTGGTAGTTCTCCCTCCCTTGGGAATTGGGGTGTGTGTCTGTGGCTTGGGATAAGGCATTCTCTGTGGCAGCCCCTAGGTCAGGGGTCAGCAACCCTTTTCAGCCGTGGGCCGGTCCATCGTCCCTCAGACCATGTGGTGGGCCAGACTACGGTATATTTTGGAAAAAAAATATGAACGAATTCCTATGCCCCACAAATAACCCAGAGATGCATTTTAAATAAAAGGACACATTCTACTCATGTAAAAACACGCTGATTCCCGGACCGTCCGCCGGCTGGATTTAGAAGGCGATTGGGCAGCATCCGGCCCACGGGCCTTAGGTTGCCTACCCCTGCCCTAGGTTGTGGCATTCCCTCCCCAGCCTCAGTCTGACCGCCTCACTTTACAGCTTTCAGGGAATGCTGAGTCTGCCCCTCTTCACCCTGGCCTGCAACATCAGAAATGTGTGTTTTCACAACACACCTGATCCTTGGGACGGTAATTTGTTTTTAATTCTGAATTTTAAACTTGAACAATAAATTTGATGATGATGAGCTAAATAAGAAAGCAGTCCATCTTCTGCTCCCTTTCCAGACCGTTGAATCAGATTACCATTACAAGAATTGGAGGATTCAGAATAGCCTGAAGACCAAAGCTGGCTATTGTCTGGACCCCACTTTCTCCTTTCCCTTTGCCGCCAATTCAGATCCAGTTCAGCCTTGCTGTCCACCCCATTCCTACCTTGCCCTTTGAAAACCAGAGTTAGCATGTTGTGTAGTCATTAAGAGCACCAGTCTGGAATGGGAGATAGATAAAGGTAAAGGGACCCCTGACCATTAGGTCCAGTCATGGCCGACTCTGGGGTTGCGGTGCTCATCTCGCTTTACTGGCCGAGGGAGCCGGCGTACAGCTTCCGGGTCATGTGGCCAGCATGACTAAGCCGCTTCTGGCGAACCAGAGCAGCACACGGAAATGCCGTTTACCTTCCCGCTGGAGCGGTACCTATTTATCTACTTGCACTTTGATGTGCTTTTGAACTGCTAGGTTGGCAGGAGCAGGGACCAAGCAACGGGAGCTCACCCCGTCGCAGGGATTCGAACCGCTGACCTTCTGATCAGCAAGTCCTAGGCTCTGTGGTTTAATCCACAGCGCCACCCGCGTTCAAATCACTACTCAGCCACACTGAGATCACCAGGAAACCTTGGGTTCAGTCACTCTCTCTCAGCCTAACTCGCCTCACAGGGTTCTTGTGAGGATGCAATGCAGGGAAGGAGAACCATGTATGCCAACCTGAGCTTGAGAAAGTCAGATTACAAGTGTAACCCAGGAACATAGGAAGCTGCCTTAATCAGAGTCTCTTGGGCAGGGGCCCTTCAGACAGGGGACAATCTCAGTCCTCTCTGGAGATGCCAGGGATTGATCCCACGACCTTTTGCACGCAAAACAGATGCTCTGCCACTGAGCCAAATTTGGTCCCCCGCCCCTGCAAAAATAAATGTAAATAATCCAGCTCCCATAAACCAAGAAGTAAGATTGGAGATGGTATGAACCAGGAGCGAGGATTTCTGGGCACAACTTGATTCTGGTTCCCAGGAATTCGGAATGCGAATGGAAAGGTGAAGGCCTCTAATATCTCGCAGCCCTATGCTACCACCCGCCATTCTGCCCCTTCACTCTCCTCCCCTCCCTCTGCATATGGAGTGTGATCAACAGACACTGAGAAGAAAAAAAATACTTTGCAACAGTCTTTAAAAAGTGCTTTTATGACTTAGGTAAGAGGTGCTAGAAATGGAGGCGGGGGGAGAGGTGAACATCTCGCACTTACAGCATGCAGCGTCTCTCTTCTCTCCCCCCCCCCCCCGCTCAGGCAGACACTAGGAAATGCCAGCCCCCTCCCCCCTCCAAAGCCCAGTTCCGTCATGTCAGCTGATCATCCACCTCCTCCTGCCGACACCCACCCACACATTTCAAAGCGGAGCAGCTGTGCCTGCTGTGGATGTCTAACCCCAACCAGGTGGGCAGGAAGCCCAAGGACCGGGCATGATAAAAACTGTGCTGGCATCACACAGGGGAGCCCCCACACCTGACTTATAATTGATGGGCTCCTACAGAGGTTGACAAAGAGGCTCGTTCCAGACCTGCTGAACTAGCCTACTGGGTGAAGATTTTCCTAGCCATGTGTCCTCTCCCTTGCCATCTATCTAGATTATAGCCCCTGTTTGCTTACACATGTTAGGTGAAGGGCCATTGTCCAGTGGCTAGAGCATCTCTTTTGCATGCAAAAGGCTCCAGGTCCCATCCTCAGCATCTCCAGCTAAGAGGAAGATCCCCGCCTGAATTCCTGGAGAGTCTCACTGCTAGTTAGCGCAGCCAGTAATGAGCCAGGTGGACCCAATGGTCTGGCTCTGTACAAAGCAGGTTCCTTTATGCCCACATCCTCCAGCCAAAGCCCTCCACAAACTCTCCATCCAGGATTTCCGCAACTCCTCTTTCGAGCTCTAATGCCTGGGTGACAACAGCCAGGGAAAGTGCAGAAGAGAAACACCTCCTCCTCTTTCAGGAAGGAGTTATTTTTGGGATCCCACTTGAAGGGAGACGTGAGACTTTCTCCACCCCTTACCCAAGCCATGTAGGAGGACCTCCAACCAAGGATCTACCCCAAAACAGGTGCGTGGTCTGAGGGACTCTGCACTCGCTCCCGCCGCTCCTGGCTCAGGAAAGCACAAGCCCTTCCCAAGAACCAGCTGCTGACAAGGAACACCATGCCAGGGCATCTCTGGGCATGGTTGGGAGAGAGTGAAACCCTGCAAGACTGAGCTAGATGAAGCAATGGTCTGACTAGGTATGCAAGGAAGCGCCCCATGTTCCTGCGTGCTGGATTCACCCACCAGCAGGGGGAGCTGTTAGGGGAAAGAACACCACTTCCCTAGAATGCCAGGGCAACCAACCTCCTGCCCGCTTGCACCCGGACATATTTAGAGCACCCCATCTATCCAGAACCATGTCCCTCCACTCCTTGGAGAAGACCAAGCCTCCAAGTGTCTTCCAGCCCTGAGCCAAACAGAAGCCAAGGAAAGCAACTTACCACCACCCCATAACTAAGGGGTACCCTTAACATGCCTTGGTCCTCCTCCACCAAAGGTGCCCAGTTAAACCCTCGTGGCATCTGTGATTGTGCCCTGAGCTCAGTCGCCTACTCCATTGTCTCCCCACCCCCGGCCACAACCCCCCAGCGCCCTTATGGGTCCTCTGCTCCAACTTTCTAACACCTAGTCCATAGCCCCAGAGCTCACCCCACCTTACCCCCTGCCATCCAGCCCCGCACCCAGCGAACCAGGACGGTGCCAGGTTCTTGTAAGTGGGCGGTTCCCCTGCTGAAAATAGCCCCTGGCTTCTGCCAGACTCACCACCTCGGAGTCTTCGAATCCATGGAGACACGAGTCGTCATACATGGGGGATGAAAGAATCGTTCAGGAACCAAGACAGAGGTGGTGGTGGTGGCAGCAGCAGGGTGAAGGTGGGGGGGGGTGAAAGGGGGCAGCTCTTCCAATCGGAGGGATGCCCAGCGCTGTGCCCCCTGCCCCAAGCTGGGTTGGGGGCAGCGGATGGCACGCAATGGCAGAGCTGCTGTCTGCTCCCCGAGAAAGATTCCCCACCCTGGATGCGCTCGCTCGCTCGCTCGCTCTCTCCGCTCAGCAACGACGGCAAAAACAATAGCGCCCACCCACTAGCCCTCCCCTGGGGGCAGGCATTGAGACAGGCAAGCACGGAAGGAAGCGGGGAGGTGGGGGGCGGGCAGAGAGAAAGAGAGAGGGAAGAGAGAAGTGGGGCAGGCGGCAGCTCCTGAACTGTCCGGATGCGTCTGCACCCACCTGGGGCAAGACCAATGCGGGGTGCCAAGGGGCGCGGTGCAGAGAGCAGAAGGGGAACAACAGGGTGGGGAGAGGGAAGACACGACCGGAGGGCATGTGATGTGGGTTTGGGGGGGCAGGGGTCGTTGTCAGTGCATTCTTGGTGCCCACCAAGCTCTGCCCTTTATTCTGGCTCCAGAGACAGGGAGGGCAGAGAAGGATGCCTTGCTGGATACGCAGCCAAACAAAATGGATTTGGGGGTTGGGGAGACACAGCCTTCCTGCTTGGGCCAGGAGAGGTCCGGGCACCGAGACCTGGCAAGCAAAGGAATGTGGGCAGTGAAAGGGTGAGAAGTCCAGGCCACCACCACGGCACGCCGTGCCCCCCACCCTGTTCCTTGAGTGCCCCTGTTTTCCTAGCCCCGGCTGCCTAACTGCCTGCAGGTCACTGGATAACCAGGACCAACTGGGTGCTTCTCCGCGCGACCCCTGGCAATGCCACCCTCTGCCTCCCTCCAGCTTCCCTGATGCAGCGCCTCTCCCTAAGGCATCAAGGGGGGTCTCTCCTCCGGCTCTACGCTCCGGATTGCCCACCCAGAAGGTCTCACAGCTCCATCCCTAAAGGGCAGATGGGGACGTTCGCCTCCCCCCCCCGTTAACTTCGGTGCAGGTGCTGCTGCCCGCTGATCTGGACTCGGTCCTCCGGCTCTGCCGGAAATGGGGCCCGGTGGGGTTCCCCCTGCCATTCCCCCAAGCTGCGCCTCCAGATGCCTCTCCAAGCCCGGTGCCAGGGGTGCAGGCTGGACCCCCACCCCGTCCCACGGAAGTTGGGCAGCCCCTGCAGAAAGAAACCCCTCCGCCCTTTGCCAGCGAGGACGCAGCACCAATCCTGACACCCCAGCCGCGAATCTAGGAAGCGCAACGGGACTGAAGGCGCGGGAGAGAGAGAGGCGAGGAGCCCGGCGAAGGGGCGGGCGAGGCGCGTAGCCGCCCGCCCCTTCTCCCTGGCGGGCTCCCGGGATCCTCCCGGAGTTGCTGTATGGCGCGCGTGGGGGTGGGGAGGGATGTCTGGGGCGCGCGAGGAAGCTGCCGCTTGGCGCGGGAGAGGCGCGCGAGACGAGCGGGGCGGGCATGGCGCCGGGGCTGCCATGGGGCGGGGGGCGGCGGCGGCGGCGCGCTGCCTGGTCGGTTACCTCGTTGAGCAGGAAGGTTGCGCTGGAGTCAGAAAAAGACATAGACGGCGGGGGAGGGAGCCGGCCGGCCGGCGGGCGGGCGGGCCCGGGGTGCGCTGCCCGCTGGGGAGAAGGAAGGAGGAGGGAGGGAGGCGCCCCCCCGGCCCCGCTGCGCCGCTTCCGAAGCGCCTGCCCGGCTCTGGCTGCCTGCGCTCGTCCGCTCGCCCGCGCTCTCCTCCTCCTCCTGCCGACGAGCGCGGTGCGCGCCGCCGCGCCTCCCGGCCCTCCTCCCGCCGCGCTCCACGCGCCCTTCCCAGGCTGGGCTCGGGGACGTGCCAGGCGCTATATAATCACGGGGGGGGGGGCGAGGATGCGCCCTGCCAAGCGAGAGCCTCTCCGATGGCGCCCTCTCCGCGCGCACAGCTCGGGGCTTTCCGCCGGCTCCCCTCTCCTCCTCTCGCCCGGGTGGGGCGCTTCTGGGCTGAGGAAGAAGGGGGGCGCGCTGGCGTGCAGGATGCGCCTCGCTCCAGCCGTCGACCAGCTCCAGATGCTCATCCAGCAGATAGAGAGATCTCCAGCTTCCCGGGGTTTTAAGGCCATCGCTCCCGCTCCCCCGCCCGTCGATGGCATTGCAAATCCGAGAAGCTGGAGATGGGCGAAGCCGCTCGCCCGCCGCCCTTCTCCCCTGCCCGTATACCACGCCTTTCCCCGGGGTTTCAGCCGGCCCTGGCACGGCAGAGGCTCATCCCTGGGGGAAACGGAACAGTGGAAAGGACCCCAGAGCAGGAGCAGAGTGCATTTCAGCGGAGTGGCTGCAGATAATTGCCAGAAATCAGCCACCGCCGGAGAGTTGTGTCTGAAGGCCCTCCGGCCCTATAGCATCTCTTGCGTTAGAACTTTGCCATTTCCCGCGGACGCCACCCCCGACCGTTAAAAAGCAAGGCACATCAAGGCACATTATTCTCTCCCGGCTGCTCCAGACCCTTCCCGCCCCGTTTCCAGGGATTTCTATGTGGCTGCATCTAGTCCCTTGCCCCAGCTCCTTGGGGCGCCCCCTGGTGGAGATAAGAGGATAATCGGGGTTCGACTTCCCTTGCTAGGGAATATTTGGTGCGGGTGGGTGTCTAAAACAGGATTAATAAAGCAGATCCCTATTTTAACCTCAGTTTGAGGCTTTTGTCATCAGGGAAGACAGGCCTCGGCCAGGAAGACTGGTGTGCAAATGCCGGTCATATATAAATAAAACCCCATATTTATTTACAGTATGAAAGAACAGCTGGATTTGAGAAGGGAGGCAGAGGGAAGATCAGCTCTGCCACTGGACCCTCTTACTGAGGGTGGGCGATGGGACACAAATCACTGAAAAGCTTAGCTCAACCTAGGCGGGACCACCACTCTTAACTTGGGGAGGGAAGGAAGCCCAGGGGGTGAGGAGCAGTGGCGTAGCGTGGGGGTGCAGGGGGGGCCAGCCGCACCGGGCGCAACATCTGGGGGGGCGCTCGCACTCGCAGCTCTCTGCCCCTACTAAAATCCACGGGTTCGGGGGCGCAAATTACTTGCCTTGCCCTGGGTGCTGACAACCCACGCTACGCCACTGGTGAGGAGGGAAAGGAGGGCAAAACAAACTTTGGTGCCACCCTGGTCAGTGCAATGGGGAATTGTTCAGAATAAGCCTGTGAAAATAACATTTTAGAATGGAGCCTTTGTAGTTCCGGCCCTGCAGGGGGCACTATGGATTGAGGGTCAATGGTTTCAGATGTTGTGGAGGGGAAGCTTCTGACTTTGCTGTGTATGGGGTGAAAACTGCAGAGACCACAGATGGAGGAGGAATATTTTAGTTATTATAGGAGTTAAAGCAGAAAATATTCAGCTGCAGGACTCTTCTGTATAGGGGGCGGGCAGTGCTCCTGCCTTGGTGGTCTTCACTCAGCAGGGGCACTATAGGGCACAGGCCTTGAGTTCAGGGCAAGGGGGAAAGTGGCACAGCAGAGCTCAAACACACCCATGAATCGCTGCAGTAGCTGGTGCCATCTGCCTACCTGGGAAAACCTAACTCTTCTTGACAGCTCTGGCGAGCCTCTCAACCCCCATCTCCTGCACCTGACTCCACTTTCTTCTGCTGCGGTTCTGCCACCCAGGCGGCCCACTCGCCAGGCTGCTCCCTCACCCCCTTCTCACCCGCTCCTCTTTTCCCAGCCCGCCCCCCAAGAGACAAGGATGGCGCCACTTTACCTCGTTGAGCAGGAAGACACTGGAGTTGGAGAGAGACATGCAGAGTGTCTGCTTTGCTGGACTGTAGCTGACTCTGCCTGGCTCACACACCTCCTCTACCTTCCTCTCATGAACCCAGCCCAGCTCACGGGGCAGACAGGAAGCCCTGCCCACAGGGACTCTCTCGTGGGATGGAGAGCCAGCAGCCTGCAAGCTCAGGGGCACGAGCAAATTGTGCAACGGTGCACGAGCATTACAGGTCCACCCCCCCACCCCCGTGCACACTGTTGTCTTGTGGCGCCGTATGCAAGCATCCCATTGGCTCCCAAGCTCTTGTGGGACACTGTGGGTGTGGATGGGTGTGGGAGTGCGCATTACAAAGCCAGCTTTGTGGACCATCATCTTTTAGCACCAAGCACAAACAGCGCACCAGCCGCAGCAATGCATTTAAACATGACGCTGGCTTCAGGCATCAGCGTGCAGCTTATCAGCTCACAGCCTCTTGTGGGTCCCAACAGGAGCAGTTCAGTGGCAGCCCATGACTATCGCGGGCCTATAGTGCAAATGGCTTTCGTGACAAAGATTCTCACAGGATGGGGGCAGTCGCTGGGCAGGATCTCAGCGCCATGGGTCTCTGGGCTGTCAAAAGTGGCTACTGAGAAATGATGCAGTCTAATGATCACTTCTGGATCAATCGTTGAAACTGGAAAGTGAGCCCAATATGACTGCAGTGGAGACAGACCAGAGGAGGCATGACTGATGGGAGGAGCGCATGGTGCATCTGCAGCAGCACAATTGGACGCCTTCACCTGCCCCAGCTGCAACAAAACATGTCTCTCTTGTATTGGTTTCCCTTCCAACAGTTTGACTTTACTCCCAAAGGAGCACTCCTCCACTGTCTCCCAAGATGCCAACAAGTGCCCAATAAAAGCCTAAACCAGGGCTTCCCAAACTTGGATCATCCTTAGCTAAGCAGGACCAGCGGTCAGGGATTGTGGGAACTGTAGTCCAAAAATAGCTGGAGACCCAAGTTTGGGAAACCCTGGCCTAAGCCTTCCTGAGAGATCCCTCTAAATTGTAAAGCTGCTATAAGATGGTACGTCATCAGGAAGCCACCCAACACAGCAGCACCCACGTTGGTTGGCATTAGTTCCCCTCACCTTGCTGGAATTTCTCTTCCAGCTGTGGCTTCTTCCCAACATTGGTTCAGTTTATAGACCACAGATGGGCTCTCAAATCACCCTCAGCTGGACTGATATTTATCTTCAGTACATGTTCAGCAATTAGCATATTGGGAACCCGTCGGATAGAATGTGAGAGCAAGAGGAGGCTCGCTTGCTCTCTCCATTGCCATTCCTTCCAGGACTCCTCCAGGCTAGCACCACTGAAGGCTTGCAGCCAAGGGGAGCTTCCGGGCTGTTGCTGCTTTGGGCTGGTATTCAATCACACACGGGTTGTAGTGGATTGGGTGGTCTTCCACGACAAGCTCGCTTCTCCCAAAAGATCAGACTTTGCAATCTGGAAAGTGAAGGTGGAAGATGCATTCTCTAACATCCCCGCAAACAAATCAGGGTGCATGCTCAATGAACATCTGGTCATCTGGAAGAGCCCAGAGTAACAGCCTTCTTCCCAGATACCAGCTGTCCCTTGTAACCACCCAACAGAAGATCCAAGTTGCCTTTTATATGAAAGATGAGCAAAAGGCCTTGGGAAATATTGTGGACAGCGTGGTGGGGAGGGTGAGCTCTCCTTCACCCTACAGCACACGAGACCAGAAATACCTTCACCCTACAGCACACAAGACCAGAAATACCGAGGTCCCCCCCCCTCACCATATTCAACAACTTCTGCTTTCTTCTGGCTGATTTTGGCCTAAGCAAAGACCCCCGCCCCATTTGACAGGTTGAGCAATTTATTTCCCCAGTGAAATGGTTTCTGAACCACTGAGGGATTGCTGGGAAGCCTTGCAGCTCTTTCATGGGATTCAGTAGGGCAGGCTCCCCCAACCTTTGTTGTTGTTTAGTCGTTTAGTCATGTCCATGACCCCATGGACCAGAGCATGCCAGGCACTCCTGTCTTCCACTGCCTCCCGCAGTTTGGTCAAACTCATGTTAGTAGCTTCGGGAACACTGTCCAACCATCTCGTCCTCTGTCGTCCCCTTCTCCTTGCGCCCTCCATCTTTCCCAACATCAGGGTCTTTTCCAGGGAGTCTTCTCTTCTCATGAGGTGGCCAAAGTATTGGAGCCTCAGCTTCAGGATCTGTCCTTCCAGTGAGCACTCAGGGCTGATTTCCTTCAGAATGGAGAGGTTTGATCTTCTTGAAGTCCATGGGACTCCCCAACCTAGTGCCCTCCAAATGTTTTGGTATACAACTCCCATCACCTCCCAGCTGGCACTGGAGGGCATCTGGAGGCACTTGGTGGGTGAAGGTTGTGGTGCTCCAGGCATGAAGAACTCCACCCCAGCAGCAGAAAACTCAGGCCATCTCAGGTGCCTGAGAA